GCATGAAAAGTGAACTTAATTACTGTTCCCGTTCCCGTCTGTTTAATCACTGATTTTCTGTTAAAGGGATTCATGAAAAGAATAGAAGAAAAAGGTGTCCCTGAAGATATGAAAGGGAAAGATAAGATTGTATTTGGAAACATCCACCAGATTTATGATTGGCACAAAGAGTAAGTTTATAACATTTTAAATAACCGTTTCCAAATGTATAGGACTTCTTCAAATTAAAAAAAAAATTGTTCTGACCCAAAACACTGGTCTGTATCTCTGGGGGTTATTGGACCAGTCACTTTCTCACACAGCACACCTCCCAGATACCTCTGAAATTGGGGGTGGGGGGATGATGGACCCTTAGAAACAGCATAAAGAAGAAGAGTCGTTTTTTTATACCTCACTTTTCACAAGAGACTTACAATTGCCTTCCCTTCCTCTCCCCACAACAGACACCCTGTGAGGTAGGTGGGGCTGAGAGGACTGTGACTGACCCTAGGTCACCCGGCTGGTCTCATGTGGAGAAGTGGGGGTCAAACCAGGTTCTCCAGATTAGAGTCCACCACTCCTAACCACTACACCAAAGGGCAAAGAGGGGTCCTGCAGTAGGAGAGGGGAATCACAATTGGTGAGGGGCCAATTTCCACTGAAGACACAAGTGTCATTCAACCTTTATTTATTTATTTATTTATAATTCGATTTATATCCCGCCCTCCCCTAAGGCTCAGGGCGGCTAACAATTGGGGCAAAAGCCATAATTAAAACAATTAAAAACAAGATAAAAACATAACATTAGTACAACAAAGTGCTGGTGCTCTGATGTTCCCAGTTCCAAGATGGGTTCCAGGAGGGTGGATCCGGACCAATGACGTAAGTTCCAAAGTGTCAGGTATTAGACTATTCACGACTGTTTCATACTTGGGCATCAATCCTAGACTACCTGAAGTCGCAAGCAGTGATTCCTGCTACAGCCGATAATTTGGACTTGATAAATCTCTGATTAGCCTCATGTTAAGTCTACGGTCTACGGTCTGTTCTGTGGAGTACAGTTATAGTAATTTATTGAGTTAGATCCTTGTTGTTTTATAAAGTAGTTTATATGAACCTTTTTTTAATTATGGGGGGGTGAGGGGAACCCGGGGGATTGTTGATGTTAATTTTAATGTAAAAAAAAAAGGTATTAGGCTATAAGCCACTTTTACACACACACACACACACACATGCACGCCCCTCATGTGTGATGCTACGGATTTTGGGATGGTCGAAGTGAGTGCAGAGTTAGAAGCTTCTGAACATCTGGTAAGACCTCAAGATGCTTTTTAAACTTTCTGGCTAAAGCACATTGTGTGACAGGCTGGTGTGTGTGGTGGTTCCATGCATGTCAAGTGGGTGTGTGGTGGTTCCATGTTGAGGTTTTGAAGAATCACGTTCATCCATATGCTACAGATCTGACATTTGTCCCTTTAATCTTCATAAGGATAGATGAGTGGATTCCATATTTCCTGCTTAAGGGAACCCTTTCCACATTGCTTCTGAGGAATTACTCTTCTGCTCCAGGATCCTCTGCAAGGAGGACTCTGAGGCCCTGCACATGTTGCCTGGGTAGAGTTGCCTGCTCTCACATGGGAAATTCCTGGAGATTGGGGGTGGGGGGGGTACCTAAGAAAGATGGAGTCTCAGGAAGAGAGGGAACTCAGTGGAGAATGTGATACCATACCATCTAGCCTCCAAAGCTACCATTTCCTCCAGAGGAATTGACATGTGATCTAGAGATCAATAACTAATCCAGGAAAGCTCCAGGCCGCACCTGGAGGCTGGCCATTCTGAGCCTTCCTATACCATATGCTGAGAATAAGCCACCAAATGTATGCCTAAGACTTCTCTGCAGCTGTGTACACTGTGAGATAAAAATTGATGATGGTATGCAAATATCTTGGGAAGATTTGATCTTCACATTGAGATGCAACTGAAACTGGGAATGCAGTTTGGACATTATGGTTCGTACTGTTCTGGCTGATAACTTAATATGTGTGGTGGCAGGTAGTCTTTTCCTTTTGATAAAGTAGTGAACAGGATGGAACCCAGAGATTTCTAAAAGAACAGTGTGAGTTGTAAACCGAACATTTTATAAATCAGAACCTTTTTTTATGCGGCTGAATTCAGCATGCCTAGGGTATAGTGCATGCTGATTTCTCCATGATGGCTTTGCAGAAGTTGTTCCCAGTGCAAGAGACAAGCAATAATAATTTAGTGCCCCCAAGGCACACTGTGTTGGCTTTCAAGTGTGGTTTCTCTGTAGGGAATATGCCACAAAGAAGCTGCAGATAGACAGCTGATACCTCTTTTCACAGTTCACAAGTTTTATTAATTGTATCTGGGGAGGAAAATGCTTCCAAAAGTCTCCCTTACAGTTTTAGGTCATACTACATTCTGTCTCAATATACCAAGATTACGGCAACTCACAGAACATAAGGCAAAGAAAATGTTACATAACAGGGGAATGATTGAACACTGATGACAAGAAGCTACTTGGCATTTATGACTAGCCAAATGCTTCATTACAAGAATACTGCTACAAAAGGGCATGAATAAGCATGTGGTTCACAGTATCAGCTTATCCATCTGGTAAAGCCATGTGACCGGGGGTGGGCAAAGACTTAGCCCCTTTTCAGGCCATAGAACATTAGCAGTGTTCTCTCCAAGCTGAGTTGCTGTGAGCTAGCTCACAGTTTTTTTAGCCTCCAGCTCACACATTTTTGTCTTAGCTCAGGAAGGGATGGCCCCAGAGCAAACTAATTTGTGCAGTAGCCACATCGCTTGCTCACAACTTTAATGCCAGTAGCTCACAAAGTAGAATTTTTGCTCACAAGACTCCACAGCTTAGAGGGAGCTTGCACGTTAGTTATTGAGACTAATGGCATTGCATTGGTCTCTAGCACTTGGTAATCAGTAATTGCTCTGGTCACATTTCAGGACCTACTGTTTTCTAATCATATGCCTGTACTCATCATGGGGAACCTGTGGACTTCAGCATTAAAAATCAAATTGTGGTGTTCAATAATCCAGGCTTGCCAATTGATTTGAAAACTTCCTGTAAACTTGGGGGCGGCTGAAGGTGATATGGTCCAGGTGAAACAGGGATTTTTAATGTGCAGGAGGTAAAAGGCTGATATAATATGCAGGACACTGGGATGATCAGAATTCTTCATTCCACTCAAAGCCCCCTCTACTTTCTCAGCCTTCTGTAAAATGTGTGCATTTAGCATTGTCTATTTGCAACAGGCAGACTGGAGCTGAAGTCTTTTCTTTGTTAATAAGAAGAAAAGTAGTCAGTGTCATGGGATTGTGAAGAAGGTGCAAAGCACAGGGCTTGAAGTCCATTACTGCTTTATAGTCCACAACACTTCAGAACTTCTATAGAATTTCCTTTTTTTTCAAGCTTCATAAGATTCTGTGTATGGAGTAGGAGCAGGAAGTAGAAGCCATGCTGCCGTTGTTTACCGGGTTTGAAGTTTGGAGAAATGATGCTTGGGAGTTGGGGAGAGACTGTCGAGATGAATAAGGACTTTATCACGCATCTGCAACTGATGGAGGGTTGAAACTCTTCTTGAAAATCAGATGAACAGGCCACTCTGAGGTTGTCTGCACGGGCTTTATTGTAGCAGTTCAGATAGCTATAGCTCTTGTGATGTGGTACAGCTGTATAAAGCCATGTAGCATTTGAGCAAGAAATACTGAAAAGGACGATTGAAACTAGCCCTCCCTTTCTCTTCAATTGCAGTTTTTTTCTAGCTGAACTGGAAAAGTGCCTTCAGGAGCATGACCGGTTAGCGCAGCTGTTCATCAAGCATGTAAGTTAGTGTCATTTAAAAATAAAAAAAAAATGAGCATTAATCTTGAAATATATTGTGGTTTCTCTTCAGATCGCATTAATCTTGAAATTAGACTACTGAAGGTCTGAATTTTCGTAAAACCATAAAACTGTGCAAGCATTTGTGCTTTCTGAACACAGAGTAAAATTTGACAAATACCCAAAGAAGCTCTGTGTTAAATTATTATACTTAATGGTTTTGGCACTTAAAAACAGAATGCATGCATGTCTCCGGGCTCAAAAGATCCCCAGGGATACAGTTTCAAATGTTGTGTAGGGTTTCCCTTCCTGACTGAAGCCAGTATGTATACATGCAGGATGTGTGTCTTAATGAAAACAACTAAGTTGAAACAGATGTATACCCTCAAAGGAATTAGAGACCAAAACCACAACTTCCAGTAAAATATTTTTCACTCAGTTCAGTTTATATATTTACTTTTGTCAGGGTTTGAGAACCTGCATGCCCTTGCGACTGGCTTGATGGGCTTGCATCTGAGTTCGGATCACCGATCTGTCATGGTCTTGTGAGATGGCCTGAGGCAATTTGGAGGCTGTTAATACAGGAGCCTGAGACCAAGCATCCTCATAAAGGAGATTCTACCTGGCTGGAACAGTCATTGCCTTCTATAGTTGCTGTAGTCAAGCAAAAAACGTATTCTAGGCCTCTTAGTTAGCACGGTTGCTGCTGCTCGTCTGTTCACCTTTCTCGGCAATATGCATGAAAGTATACAAAATCTTGGCAGCAAATGCAGCAGTGGTCTGTATTACATAAGTGCTGGCATCCAATTCATGCTATCTTCCCGTGCCCAAAAGGTGGAATTGTGTCAGTCTGGCATCTGTTTGGAATGCCTGTGTAGCACATGATGCTAACTGCACTGGGGAGTTATGGGATACATCCACTCATTCACCAGAGGAATGCTCTTCCTGGTCCAGTTTGTACTGGGCCTTGATTGGTTCTGGTTTTCTTTGCTTTCTCCCGCTGCTCATGCAGTGATACAAGTCTGTGGCTTAACCTTGAACAGTTGTGTAAACTTTGTTTTCACAGGAGAGAAGACTACACATGTATGTAGTATACTGTCAAAACAAACCAAAATCTGAATATATAGTAGCGGAATATGGTCCATATTTTGAGGTAAGTTTTTGGCTCTTTGGGTGCCTCATGTTGCAGGTTAAACATATATGTGTGGTGTGATCTCTGCTTTTTGATCATGCTTCCATGCATAGCCTCCAACAACTACCAGCCAGCATCTTCCTGCTTGGGTTGCTGGATTTGCTCTCTCTTCTTTGACTTTCTGTGAGCACTGACTCATACTCAGCAGCAGGTTGCTGCCTCTCTCTCTCTGTCTCTCTCTCTGTCTCTCTGTCTGTCTCTGTCTGTCTCTCTCTCTTTCTCTCTCTGTCTCTGTCTGTCTGTCTGTCTGTCTCTCTCTCTCTCTGTCTCCCTCTCTCTGTCTCTCTCTGTCTCTGAAGCAGATAGCTGGCATTTCCATGGCATTACCAGTTGTCTGGTCCCTCCTGAGTCTTTCCTGTTGCTTCAAGCCTGTCTTTAGCTAACTATCTGTCTTTTCTGATCAATAAAACACATAAATGCGAGTAGGGAGCAACCAAGAAAGAGCTTTGTGATCTGTCCTATCATGAAAGTAAATCAACTGTGGAAGAACTGTTCAAAAGGGTGTCGTTCATGTAATTAATACTTACAGCAGCTCCAAAAGCAAACACCAGTACCTTGTAATTAGAGTATGAGATGTTCACCTCGGGAGAGGGGCTACATATGAGCAGGGTGATAGTCAAAAGTTCCTGTGGAGGAGGGGCAGCTCCCCAGGACTTCCGGTTCTTAAACCAGCAGTTAATTGTTGGGTTAGAATCTAGGAGACCCCGGTCTGAATCCTCACCCTGCTAGGAAAGCTCAACCGGGTGACCTTGGGCCAGTCTTTCAGCCTGCCCTTCCCCTTTTCCATTTTATCCTCAGAACAATCACTCTGTGAAGGAGAATGATGTTGTAAGCTGTTTGGGGTTCCCACTGGGGAGAAAATATGGTATTTAAATGATACTCAACCCCCAGGTATAGAAATCTCCTCTAAATCACAGGATTCTCACACAAACCGTTGCTGATATTACCTGTAGTCTGCAAAAATTTTGTGTTTTCCTTTCCTTTCCCTAGATTTAACAGCCATTAGCTATTCATCCACAGTTTCTCTCTCTCTTCTCTCTCTCTCTCTCTCTCTCTCTCTCTCACACACACACTCTCACACACACACACACACACACACACACACACACACACACCACAACAATGTGGGAATGAAAGTCAGTTCTCTATTGATCCTATAAAGAGAAAAGTTGCCACGTCTCTTATGCTGTTCACCAACCTATCTGATAGCTTAATAGCGCAGTGTCCGCTTCTCAGAAAGCATCATTAGCTGCTTTATCCAAGGAGTAATATATTTGTTCTGTATGGTATTGTTTGGGGGACATACTAAAACAATATGAGCAAAGCAATATGACAATAAGGGCCTTTGCATTCCTCTGCAGGAATTTTTGTGTTTTAAGCAGGTTTCAGGTTTGAGTCACTTAACAGCATCTCCAAAACAAAAAGGGGAAATACGTTGTTTGAGTTCTCTGTATAATTCTAATTACATAGACCACTGCTTTGGTCTCTTTAATGTTTGAACTAGTGGGATTTGTTAACACCACTATATGCCAGTCCAGCTGCTCTGTTCAGAAAGATGGTGGTGTCCTTTTGCCATCATGAAACTACTTAATATTGATATTGCTTACTTTATTCTACAGGAAGTGCAACTAGAAATAAGCCAGCGGCTAACTCTCAGCGACTTCTTAATCAAACCCATTCAAAGAATAACGAAGTACCAGCTTCTGCTCAAGGTGAAAGGAAGTACACTAGTGTTATTATGTGTCTAGCAAAAAAACCATCAAAACATCTGTATGCTGGTAATGGCAAAGAAGATCAAAGCAGTTGCCAACAATAGAGATTAAGAACCAAGATGCTCCCTAGGTGCATGCAGGAGTTTGCATGTGCATACTGGAGTGTGATGTGTTCGTGCTGCACTGGAGTAATTGACAAAATTTCCCCTAAGTATGAGAGTGGATTACTGGGTCAGTACAGTAGCTTCCATTCAGAAGGCAGCGGGGAGAAGGGATCTGAGAGCCTCATACATATGCAGAAATATTTCAAGTGGAAAATGGTGTCTAATGCTGAGTCTAAAAGGTGACCTGGGGTTTACTCCTGCTTAACATACAGAATGCTGTAATAAAGTGTTAGGCTTATACCATTTCCTTCTAGCTTTCTGTCCATACCAGCTACATATACACATTGATAAGCAAATATTTTATCAAGCTATAATGAAATGTATGTAGCTCCAATATTTGCAGTGTGCTATACTGTGTAAAGTTAAAAAATAAATGCTAATAAGCTGCTCTTCAGAAAACTTTAGAACTGCATTCAGATAGGGAAATACACAGTTTTGTCACTGGAGCACTGGAAAAATTGAGGCTGAAGCTTCAGAACCTCTTGTCTCCTTTGGAAGCCTTTTGAGGAAAGCCATGTCTCTTTGGGAGCTGCGGTGGCTCAAGTGGTTAAGATGCTGAACTGCAGACTGTGGAAGGTCAGTAGTTCAGCAGTTCGAGACCCGGGTGCCGCAAGACGGAGTGAGCTCCCGTCTCTAGTTCCAGCTCCTGCCAACCTAGCAGTTCGAAAGCAAGAAATTGCAAGTAGATAAATAGGGACCACTTCGGTGGGAAGGTAACAGCGTTCCGTGCACCTTGGTGTTTAGTCATGCCGGCCTCATGACCATGGAAACGTCTTCGGACAGCGTTGGCTCTTCGGCTTTGAAACGGAGATGAGCACCGCAACCCTAGAGTCGGTTTCGACTGGCTTTCGAGCAAGGGAACTTTTACCTTTACCTTTTTATGTCTCTTTGACCTGTGGCTGTGTATTTCAGACGCAGTGTCTTCATCCCTGCTGTTTCAAGCTTCAATTTGCAACTTTTGGCTCTTGTTTCTGCTATTTATTCTCCGAAGTGCATAGAAAAGTCTCTCTCTTTCTGTTTTCATTTACAAAAGTAGTAGATTTTATGAATGCACTTAATGAACAAGACAAGCTTCACACAAATAGTTTTAAGGGGATGTGTTTCTTTCCTGTAGGACTTCCTAAAATACAGTGAAAAGGCTGGACTGGAGTGTTCAGAGACAGAGGTATGTTTGTTGTATTCAGATGGTAATTTTAAGCAAGTTGGAGAGGAAATGGAATGAAAACTTTTTTTTCTTCATCATTCTCAACATACTTATTTCTTATGCTGCCTTGTTTTCCAGTGATGTTAGATGCAAAAGTGACTGAAGTTGTTAAATTTAACATCTAGTTTTATGAATAACAGTTTATATTGCCATGTATCTCGAGAGCGCAACCCTGAACATATTTACTCAACGTAAATCCCACTAGATTCAGTGGAACTCACTAGTGTCTTTATGATGCCGGTTGGAGTGCTTGCTTTAAATCTTCCTTCTGGTATTGAAAATTATCACAAAAGAAAACTAGGTGAGATCTGTAGCATAACTTTAAGAGCATGTGTTGGAAAGGACACAGTTCTGATGCCAGTGAGGAACCTGTGTGGCTTTTGTGTAGGCCGTTATTTCTCAGATGCTCAGGTTAGGGAAAAGGTGGTCTCCCTATACACGTGATCATAAAATGGCAGTGCTAAAAGTAATTGACACCCTAGGTACATTGCACTCTGACCATATGGTTAGGTTGAGTCACCTGTAATAAGGAGTAGCTTTGCTTACACCTCTCCACAATACATGCGCTTTCTCTCTGTGGCCTGTATTCCATGGGTTGAATGATGGTGGTAGGGATAATGTATGGGTGACCCCACTAAAATTATTTCCTCCAATTCTGATTTCCTTTTTCTTTTCAACAGAAAGCTGTGGAGTTAATGTGCCTTGTTCCTAAACGCTGCAATGACATGATGAACCTGGGCCGCCTTCAGGGGTTTGAGGTACAAGTGCAAATCACCCTTAATGAAAACTGGGTCCCAGTGGGGAAGCCCTATTCATTTTGGTGGGTTTTTAAAAACCACAGGACCCTGAAGCTGTGGTTAGGGTATGTGCTAGGGGATGGAGAAGTGAACTATTAGCAGTTTCTGATCTGAATTTTGTCCTCAGAAGGAATTTGTGGTCATTCGCCTTGGGCCGTCTCATGTTTAATGGCTTCCTGTGTGGCTGTTCCAAATACCAAGCTGGCATAGACCTTATCTCAGCTCTTTCCAATTAATCCTATAAAACCAGTTTATGGATAGTGTCCCCACAAGGGTAAATGGATATTTTCTAAACCCTTGATTTGTTTTAGGTTTACACACACACTTCAATGGTGAAACTACCTTTTTTGCTTTCTTATGTCATCATTGTGAACCTTCAGTCTTCTGTCTGCCCGTTGTCATCGCTCAAATTGAAAATTATTTTTTCTGTATTTTAATGCATACAGTAAGTTGCGTTCCTGTAAAATAATGCACATATTGCTGATCTGTCGGCAGACAAATGTTGGGAGCTCTATACACTTGATGTGGGAATATTTGGTGCAAGGAAAAAAAAAAGAGTGAGGATGTAAGTGCAGACACTGGATTGCATTCCAGGTTCTGATTCATATGAATAGAATCTGTACCTTTGTGGGAAATCTTGTGTTGCCCAATTTCACATCATAAAGTGATTGTGCAAATTGCATTTCCCACATGCATAGCTGGCGAATTCCCATTCGGTGTGAATGGAATGCAGCCTAACGTCTGCAGATGACTAAAGGTGCATGGGTTTTGTCTAAATAAGAAACAAAATTGTAACAGGAATATTTTGATCAAGCCAAGCATACAAAATTTGGCAGTATCCTGAATGGAAAAACACCCTCAACACAGACAGTATCAGGCACACACATCACAACTGCAGCAGCATTTTTTTTTGGGGGGGTGCAGTGCCATGTTAGGTTAGGCTGTAGTTTCATTAGTGCCTGGAAGACTAGTGGCTAATATGCCATGTGGCACTTAATCCAAGCATGCGCATCAGAGACCCTTTGAGGAATCTCCTTTTGGGTAACAGTTGATAGGTATCGAAGGATTTTCAACATCTCGATCATGCTGCCTGTGAAAAAAGGTTAAAGCGCTTGGGGCACTTTATCCTGGAGGAACGACGGCTGAGGGGTGACATGATCGAGGTTTATAAGATTATGCATGGGATAGAGCAGGCCGAGAAAGAAGTACTTTTCTCCCTTTCTCACAAGACAAGAACTCGTGGGCACTCCATGAAATTGCTGAGCCAGTCGGGTTAGAGCAGATAACGTCTTCACCCAAAGAGTGATTCACACATGGAATTCGCTGCCATAGGAGGTGGTGGCGGCTACAAGCATGGACGGCTTCAAGAGGGAGTTAGATAAATATATAAAGCAGGGGTCTGTCAGTGGCTATTAGCCACAAGGTATAGATAGGAACTATCTATGCACTGTATTCTTGGTTCCTGGGGTGGGGGGCCAACAGTGGGGGAGCTTCTAGTGTCCTGGCCCCACTGCTGGACCTCCTGATGGCACCTGGTATTTTTGGCCACTGTGTGGCAGAGTGTTGGACTGGATGGGCCATTGGCCTGATCCAACATTGGCTTCTCTTATGTTCTTATGTCTTGTCATTTAACCTCTCTCGTAGGGCAAGCTGGCAGCCCAAGGGAAGTTGCTGCAGCAGGATACATTCTATGTAACGGAGCAGGATTCTGGAGGGCTCTCTCGGCCGAAGGAACGCAGAGTTTTCCTCTTTGAGCAAATAGTCATCTTTAGTGAACTTCTTAGGAAAGGATCTTTAACACCTGGGTATCTTTTTAAACGGAATATAAAGGTAAGAGATTCATAAGTGCCTGTGGTCAGTGGCAAGTTTCTTGTGTCGCATGGCATGCTCCCTTGAGTCATTCTGAGGGCTTTACTTAAAAGTACATCTTTTTGATTCTTACTTTTTGGTGCATCGGATAATAAAAGGTGGTTACGGAGGATCCTGCTTCAGTGGAGAAGGTTCAAATAAAGATGGCAGTAGAACCTTTCCAGGCCTATCAGTCTGTGAAAAGATGACCTTGTCTAACTTGGGTGATGTCTAACAGTGATGAGCCAGAGAAAGCTATGAGATGTATGTGCGTGGATTGTGTATGCATCATTTCATGTCTACTTGCAGGGGATAAAGAGATAATTATGAAAGTGCCCCTTCGCAGTGGGAGCAAGACAACACATCTCCACAAATATTTGTAGTAGTAATACTGTGGTCTTTTTGTATGTGCAAAACTGAACTGGAAGGAACTGAATTGAGGCAAAGGAGTGCTTTCCCTGACTTCTGTTTCCTCATTTGAGATTGTTCCCCCTCCACCCTGTGGCACTTTCTCCCCCACAGGGTTCCAACTGCAGGTTTGCAAGAGTGCAAATAAGATGAAATTGGGGATATGCATATTAAGAGTTAACAGGTAGGAACAGGGTGGTTTACTATACCCAGTTTTGGAATGACTTTCCTATGGAGGTCAGGACTTTTTAGACTTGCAAGATCCAATTATTTCAGTTAGTTATTGACAGCTGAGTTTGATTTGATTGGGGAGCTCTTTTGAGTGCTGCTATGTTTACATCGTTTTTGGGGTTTTTTGTAACAAAATTTTTATTCAGGATATAATTAATCAAAATCAACATTCAGTTTTACATTTAAACCCGTTACATCCTACCCACCTCCCTTCCCCCCCCCTACATGGCTTCCCACAGTGCTACGACCTCCTGTATATTGCTTAACCTTTTCTCCTCCATCCGTTTCCTCATTACAAGTTCACTAGGTAACTATTATTCTACTATTACAATTATATCTCTTTTCTTTCATGATACTAAAAGTCAATATTCAATAGTTATTAAAGCAAAATAAATTGTCTCTTACATCCCAATATTTTTTCCAGATAATCTTTTAAATCTCTCCAGTCTTTATAGAAATCTTCTGCTTCCATGTTATTAAGTTTTCGAGTCATCTTGTCCATTTCAACCGAAAACAATAACTAATATGTCAAACAAATGTTGGAAGTGCAAAAAGGTTGGGGGCTCGTTTTATCATATGTGGTGGACTTGTGAAAAAGCAAAAAAAAAATTGGAGTGAGATTCATGCAGAGATGGGAAAAAATGTGAAATGTAAATTCAAGAAAGAACCAGAAATATTACTTTTGGGACTAAAATGGAAGAGGTCGATGTGGCGAAAGGGACATGGATGTGGTATATGATAACAACAGCCAGAATGACCTATGCTCAATGTTGGAAACAAGATGAAGTCCCGAGAGTTGAGGATTGGATCAAAAAGTTATTGTTTTCGGCTATGTTTACATCGTTTGTGATAGCGATGTAATTATAGTCTTTTAGCCTTGGAAGAGTGGTACACACCAGGTAAATTAAGCACGTGTTTGCAGCCCGGCAGCCACCTGAAGGGATTTGAAAGAGGAGATACTGAGCAGGCGACAGATTAGGTGCCTTCCTCCTGCTGCTTCTCTGCTCCCAGTTGCCTTGTCTTGGTGGTTTGGCATGCACAAAAAGGGCCCTTGTGTTGCTATTCAGTAATCTGGGTCTATGCTGGATTGAGACTGTTCTAGCTGTGCATAAACATCACTGCAGGTATAAAGTGGTATTTCTTTCTTCTGAAATTGCCTTGGGGCTATCCTGAAGAGTCACATGACTGCTGCTAGAAACCTGACTGCTTGTGGCAGGCAACTCTCTGAAATGGACCTAGAGGAGAACAGGACACTGGTTACCTAGCAGAGCTAAACAAGCCATCACTTTAGACAAAAGCTAGATTCTCTATGTCAACCCATAAAGAGTGATCAGAGACTGTTGTGGAACTGCCAAGTCAGAAAAACTATTTGTAGAAGGTTCCTCGATACACACTTAAATTCTTTGTTTTCAGGCATCAATGCAGATGATAACTCCCCAGCGCTCGCTCTTGGGGAGTTCTTTGCTGATGGTCATATTTATTTGCAAGATGCAAAAAACCCCAGTTTTTTTAAAAAAAATTGCAATAATTTTGGTGTAGTGGTGAAGTGTGCAGACTCTAAACTGGGAGAACCGGGTTTGATTCCCCACTCCTCCACTTGCACCTGCTGATGTGACCTTGGGTCAGTCACAAGCTCTGGCACAGCTAGCTGTCCTTGAAAAAGAGCAGTTTGTGTCAGAGTTCTCTCAGCCCCACCCACCTCACAGGGTGTCTGTTGTGGGGAGGGGAAGGGAAAGGAGTTTGTAAGCCGCTCTGAGACTCCAAGTGAAGGGCGGGGTATAAATCCAATCTCTTCTTCTTCTCTTCTTCTTCTTCTTCTTCTTGTACTGTAGCTGGGTTTTGCTGATCACAAGCAGTGTTGACCATAATAGCATTGCCTTTTAAAGAAAGCAATAATTCAGAGCTGGGATACTTAACGTAGCATGTGAAGAACAATGCCGAAAGCCAAGTGTTCTTTGACGATGGGATGTGACTCCCACATAATTCCTTTTCTGGAAAGGCAAACTTGCGGCTGTTTTGGTTTCGGACTGCCTCGACAAGGCCATTTTTGGGTTTGCTGCTATACGAGTAATCTGAGCGTGACTCTTTCCTCTTAATTTGCTGCTGAGAACTGGCTCTGAGCTTTTTTCTGTCTGTTTTCAGATGACTTACCTAATTCTTGAGGAGAATGTGGACAACGATCCCTGCAAATTTGCTCTGATGAGCCGGGAAACGTCAGAGAGGCTCATCTTGCAGGCAGCCAATCCTGAAATCCAGCAAGCTTGGGTGCAGGACATCAATCAAGTTTTGGACACACAAAGGGATTTCTTAAATGGTAGGGACTTTATATCTGTAATAGCAAAGCCAACGTGCCTGATAAATCTGTTCTTTTCCCCACCATTCTTGCTGCAGGTCTTTCGCATCTCTGTCTCACACATTTACTTACTGCTAGCTTCTCTTAAGGAGCTGCGGTGGCTCAAGTGGTTAAGACGCTGAACTGCAGGCCGTGGAAGGTCAGTAGTTCAGCAGTTCGGGACCCGGGTGCCATGTGATGGATTGAGCTCCTGTCTCTAGTTCCAGCTCCTGCCAACCTAGCAAGAAATTGCAAGTAGATAAATAGGTACCACTTTGGTGGGAAAGTAACAGCGTTCCGTGTGCCTTGGTGTTTAGTCATGCCGGCCACATGACCACGGAAATGTCTTCGAACAGCGCTGGCTTTTCGGCTTTGAAACGGAGATGAGCACTGTAACCCTAGAGTCGGACTCGACTGGCTTTCGAGCAAGGGAACCTTTACCTTTACCTTCAGCTTCTCTTAACATGGAACGTGATAGGAGTTGCTAGATATATATTTAACAGTTATTTGTTTTAAGAATAGACTCTTAACTGAAATACTTACTTCGCTTTTTAAGTTACCTAGCTAAATATTCCACAATGTGGCCTCTATTTTTGTTGGCGAGACCTGTGAAAAGACCCTGTTGCTGGTGTGGAAAGTACTAACCTTTTTGCTATTTACTATTCAAAAACTCTTCTTCTTCGCTACCTTGCTAAGCAACCAAGGCAATTAAAATATCCCAGAAGGTTGTTTAAAGTCTTAAATTTTGGAACACATGCAAACCTGTCTTTGGGCTGCCCGTCCAAGTAATGACTTGGCATCTCTCACAGAGCCTTGGACTCAAGGCTGTTGTGAAGTCTCTTACTAGAATGTGCTATCAGCCTACTATGCACAGATGTTTCCCCTCACTTTCACTGTGTGTGTGTGTCAGGTTTTCTTTGTCGTTCTCCATTGATTTTCCTCCCTTCAGTGCTCAGTTTGCTTTCTGGTCGCTGTTTCCCTGGGTTTTCTGAGGGCGCTTTTGTGCCCATTTCCCCTTGGTTTGCTTCCAAGCTGAAGGTAATCCAAAAGTGTACAGATTCCCATGGATTTCCCCCCCCCCCCTTCATTTTTAAATTTAAAAAATTTTTTTTACAAGTGGCGCGAGTCGCTAGTCTTGGTTCGCCGAATTAAAAAAATTAAATGACGGGGAAAAGTTTAAAAGGAGCTGTGCAAGGTTTAGTTCCCTACTGGTATTGACTTGAAAGGGGGATCAGAGAGGAGGCAAACAGCAGCATCCACAGTGCAAAACACCCCAAAGGATTTCAGTGCTGCATGCAAGCAAAATAAAGGGGGGGGGATCATCAGTGCGGAATGAAATCGACATGAGATGTAAAGAGAGAGAGACACTGGGATGGGAAGCCTAAAGCTTTGAAAACATTTTCCCCTTTAATGGTTTAGTGAACAAAGTTGGGGGGGGGGACCATTTTGGCATTTTCCGGAAGCCTAACACTAAAAAGGCGGCTAAGCCACATGGACCTTCTGCAAACTGCCCAATATACCGGGGGGGGGGGACCATTTTGGCATTTTCCGGAAGCCTAACACTAAAAAGGCGGCTGAGCCACATGGACCTTCTGCAAACTGCCCAATATAAGTATGGCTTGGAATCGATCCATTTGGAGGAAACAGTGCAATCGGCACACGGGAGAGCCAGTTTGGTGTAGTGGCTAAGTGTGCGGACTCTAATCTGGAAGGACCGGGTTTGATTCCCCACTCCTCCACTTGTAACTGCTGATGTGACCTTGGGTCAGTCACAAGCTCTGGCACATCTGTTCCTGAAAGAGCAGTTTGTGTCAGAGTTCTCTCAGCCCCACCCACCTCACAGGGTGTCTGTTGTGGAGAGGGGAAGGGAAAGGAGCTTGTAAGCTGCTCTGAGACTCCTTTGGGTAGT